AACTCTCCTCTCCTTAAATACTCTACTCTTCTGCAGGACTCTGCCCCTTCCTCCATCTGACTCTCCTGAAATGCTCTACCCTTCTGGAGGACACCTCTCCTTCTTCTAACTCTCCTCTCCTTAAATACTCTACCCTTCTGCAGGACTCTGCTCCTTCCTCTATCTAACTCTCCTGAAATGCTCTATCTTTCTGGAGGACCCGAATCCTGAAACAATGAAAAATCTGAACCAAACCAATTTTTTATGCAGCTTTCATGTCTATAAGGAACTAAGGAAATCCCAAGCTCTACTCCAGAGAAGCCGATGGTTTCCATACCAAGGGGCCTGAAACATTTGGAATAAATGGCTCTATAATACTGAGCTATATTTGCACTATATTCCGGCAGTCCTGGATGTACATCTGTCTGATGGGGCATAAAGCAATTATTTGCATGGCTCCGCCCACCATCTTGGAATAAGGAATAATCCTAATTTTTGGGATATGCGAGGAAATGAAGACTCTAAGTCCTAAGAAGGGTTTACTGTGCTACACACTGGTTGGGTTGGAGGGCTTTTTGACTCTCACCATAACCTGTATGGTCATACTTCCCCTGTACACACATATACTATATTACCAAAAGTATTGGGCTCCTCCCCCTCCAAATCACTGGATTCAGGTGTTCCGTGAAATTTCCTGGCTACTAAATATTCCGCGGTCACCTGTTACTGGGATTATAACAAAGTGGAAGCAACTGGGAACAACAGCAACTCAGCCAGGAAGTGGTAGGCCGCGTCACATGACAGACCGGGGTCAGCTCATGCTGAAGCGCACAGTGCGCAGAAGTCGCCAACTGTCTGCAGAGTCAATAGCTACAGACCTACAAACTCCATGCGGCCTTCAGATTGGCACAACAACAGTGCGTAGAGAGCTTCATGGAATGGGTTTCCATGGCCGAGCAGCTGCATCCAAGCCTTAAATCACCAAGTGCAATGCAAAGCGTGGGATGCCGTGGTGTAAAGCGCGCCGCCACTGGACTCTAGAGAAGTGGAGATGTGTTCTCTGGAGCGACCAATCACGCTTCTCTGTCTGGCAATCCGATGGACGTGTCTGGGTTTGGCGGTTGCCAGGAGAACGGTACTTGCCTGACTGCATTGTGCCGAGTGTAAAGTTTGGTGGAGGGGCGATTATGGGGGGGGGGTTTGCTTTTCAGGGGTTGGGCTTGGCCTCTTATTTCCAGTGAAGGGAACTCTTAAGGCATCAGCACACCAAGACATTTTGGACAATTTCATGCTCCCAACTTTGTGGGAGGAGTTTGGGGACGGCTCCTTCCTGTTCCAACATGACTGCGCACCAGTGTACAAAGCAAGGTCCATAAACACATGGATGGGGGAGTTTGGATTGGAGGAACGTGACTAGCCGCACAGAGTCCTGACCTCAACCCCATAGAACACCTTTGGGATGAATTAGAGCGGAGACTGCGAGCCCGGCCTTCTCCTCCAACATCAGTACCTGACCTCACAAATAGTCCAACATTCCCATAGACACACTCCTAAACCTTGTGGACGCCTTCCCAGAAGAGTTGAAGCTGTTATAGCGGCAAAGGGCGGAGCCAACTCAATATTGAACCCTACGGACTAAGACTGGGATGTCATTAAAGTTCATGTGCGTGTAAAGGCGTCCCAATACTTTTGGTAATATAGTGTATAATAGCTATTCATGTTTGTTGTACATTTGCTACCATTCACTCCATTTCCGATGCCCGCCAACATTCCTGCATTCAGATACATGAACCCCCCCCGATACAATGGGCCCACTATTCACACCTCTAGACATTTCCGGGTGTTGCTTTCCTGCAGAAGAATACATAACATTACGGCGAGTACATGATGTACATTTAAATCTGATTTCTCATCGCTGGTGAATTCACAGTGTAGATTTGCATTTATATGGAATGAAAAGATGAATTTCTAAAGAAGAAAAAAAAAAGAAGATAAAGTACAATATTTACTTTAAACCTTAAAAAAGCCGCTGTGCGCCCGGCGAACTTCCGGTGTAATTGGATGGGTGGCAATTGTCATAGAGTTCTATTTCCCTCTCAATGCGTTATCGTGTGTCATTGCTGCGATCGGCTGAACACTCGATCAAAGTTTATCTAGCAGCGAGTGGCGGCATATTGCCGGTATGTACCGTAGACGTATATTGGAGCTCTGGCAGGAAATCCTTCTTACATTTTTATTGGGCATTTTATTACGTAATGATTAACTGAAATTAGTTTTTTATATATCACATGCATCAAAAGATCCACTCCAGGCAAACAGCTCAATACACAGAAGAAATACATCCGGGAGCGTTTCGACCTGCCAAAGTATTTGCATTTCTCTCCGTGCAGTTCTAAGATTTACATAGCTCTGCCACACAGCCCAGCCCTGAGACCTGATTTTATTTTGCTGCAGATAAGTAATGCTGGCAGGTCTTGTCCCTTCCCCCAGCATGTGACTGGACAAGGAAAGGAGATAACAGACTGGTGATCTTATCGCTTGGGTGCTGCCTTAAGGGGCTATGTTTGAGCATTACATCCCTAAGCCCTAGGTGCCCCCCCCTGGGGTTGGCTCCTGGAGAACATTCAGCAGTGATGTCTGCCACAGAATTGTAATCAGGGTCACGTCTCCAGGAAGATTCCGGAATGTCTCGTTCCCCTGGGGATACAATGTTTTTACCAATGAGAGCCGGATCTTCTCTTCGCTACCACAGCCAATGAGCGCTCTGGCACCATCTTAAAGGACAATCCCCCCCAACACCCACCCACACTGTGCCTCCAAAGTCTCTCATGCTTCCAGTGACTGTGACCCCTGTGCACTCCAGCCACCTCTGCACTCCTGTTTCTTCAGAGACTATGTGACTCCTGTATTCTTCTTTGACCCCAGTGTCCCCTCCACTTCTGTACCTCCAGAGACTCTGTGACCCCTGTGCCCTTCTTTAATCCACATGTCTCCAGTGCCCCCAGTACTCCTGTGCATATAGTGGCTCTCTGTCCCTTGTGCACTACAGTGTTCCCTGCAACCTTGTGTCTACAGCAACCTCTGTGTCTCCAGTATCTATGTGTCTCCATCAACCTTTGTGTCTCCAGCGACTTCTGTGTCTCCAGTATCTATGTGTCTCCATCAACCTTTGTGTCCCCAGCAACCTCTTTGTCCCCAGCGACCTCTTTGTCCCCAGCGACCTCTTTGTCTCCAGCGACTTCTGTGTCCCCAGCGACCTCTTTGTCCCCAGCGACCTCTTTGTCTCCAGCGACTTCTGTGTCCCCAGCGACCTCTTTGTCCCCAGCGACCTCTTTGTCTCCAGTGACCTCTGGGTCTCCAACAACCTCTGTGTCTACAGCGACCTCTGTGTCTACAGCGACCTCTGTGTCTACAGCGACCTCTGTGTTTACAGCGACCTCTGTGTCTACAGCAACCTCTGGGTCTCCAGCAATCTCTGTGTCTACAGCAACCTCTGTGTCTACAGCAACCTCTGTGTCTACAGCAACCTCTGTGTCTACAGCAACCTCTGTGTCTACAGCAATCTCTGTGTCTACAGCAACCTCTGTGTCTACAGCAACCTCTGTGTCTACAGCAACCTCTGTGTCTACAGCAATCTCTGTGTCTACAGCAATCTCTGTGTCTACAGCAACCTCTGTGTCTACAGCAACCTCTGTGTCCCCAGTGATCTCTGCGTCAACAGAGATCTCTGTGTCTCTGGTGACTCATGTAATCCTGCATCAACCCATGACCCGTTGTGACCCCAAAGTATCCTATGTCATCACCTCCGGCCATAATGTCAACCCTTGGCAAACTCCTAATTTGTTTTAACAAAGGAAGTCCATTAAAGTGCATCTAAAGCCAATTTTTCTTCTTTGTGTATTTAGTAAGGAGGGGTTGGAACGTCTGTCAGGTTTTATGACTCTCTGTCTTCCTATTATAACTGTGACTGCAAGAAAGGGAACAAACTAAATTTCTGAGTTGTTATTAGAACAGCAATAAAGGGGAAATCTTTCAATGGGGACGCTTGTTCTAACTTTAGTGAGATCTACTCTCACTTCCTGCTGAGTCTCAAGACAGGAAGTGAAGGAGAAAGTTCCAAATTCTTCCCTAATACACAGGAGGTCGCTTGCTCTGCACAGGGGCCATTCAGCAAATGCCTAGTGTAGGTTTCCCTTCTCTGCACCTGCTATGCCCGTCCGTAGGGCTGCATGTACCACAACGAATGGCACATGTGGGCCAGTGCCAAGGGCAGCAGGGTTACATGGGGCAGCATCAAACATTTTTTGTCTTTATTATTTCCCTATTCAATCTGTATGATTATGAATAAAATCAGCAACTTTAGGGAGAAGGGGGAAAGTAGAAGAGTCACAAGATTCTCTATAAATTCTCAAGAAACATGAAATATTCTCTCTTTTTTGATGGCCTGTACATTTGTAAAGTATCAATAGAAAACAGACCCCATGCAGCCTCCAAGATGGTGTGCCAGGAGGAAAGTGACAGAAGCAGAACTTATAAAGTCCAGGGTTAAGCTTAGTCAGACTCTTATATTAAAAAAAGCCAAAGGATTTCAGGGTTCAAAGCCCCCCCCCCCCCTTCATCAGGGCTCAGTACTGTTGAAGGAAGCCTGTACTGGACTGATAAAAAGGGGCGGGGGGTTTCCTGATGGGTAATTGGCATGGATGCCAGTAGAGCCTTCAAGCCTAAGTTTTGCCCAAATAATCACATGACCCAAGAGGTGGTGTTTGGGGGTAATTACTTAGGTGTGCCTAAGGCAGCATGGTGTCTAACTACAGCTCTGCTTATCAGCACAATGAGACATAGGACACGGGCACAGATGCAAAGTTATTAGAGTCTCGGGTACGAAGCTGCATGTTAGTGGCTCAGCCAAGGAAGGGAAGGTGGTACATCTATGAACTGCTTATATTTTCTCATTAAATCGGCTCCTGATTTCAACACAACATCTGCTTGTCCATCGGACGGAAGGTCTTTTTGGGGAAAGTGAGGTGAGTCGGCCGTCTTGTTCCAGTTGTGTTGGACGGCCCGTCGGGAAGGTTGGGGTCATGATTTGAGGTTGTTTCTGTAGACCAGGGTGGTTGACCTTTCGAGCTGTTTTTCCATTAGGAGGTCCAGGTCTTGTGAGGCCTTGTCCAGTTTCTCCGCCAGGTGAAAAGTGGTCTCAAGCAGTTGGTCCATCATGAGAAAGTTTTTCCGCATTCTACATGGCAAACAAAAAAACAATAATTTTTGTAAATATGTTGCAATTGTTTTAACAGTTATAAGTTGACAGACATACGCAGGTTTTCATGCATGTCAGTTGGCTACTTTAGAGCTACTCTTCCCAGGTAGTCCAGAGCCTACAACTAAAGTAAACTGTAAAGCTGAATTTTAATTTGCCCCCCTTTTAAACTTTCAACTAAAACCTTTCTGTTTTCATGACATACTGCATTTTAGACCCAGTGATGTCATCAGTATGTCTCTGTGCTTCGCTATGCAATGCATAGGGAAGCACAGGAGGGACCGGCAGGGTGCTGTACATAACTGCCTGATAACATAACAGCCCCCTGCTTCAATACTCTTCTCAAGAGCCCTCAGCCTTTATGCAAGCAGTGGGCTGGCTCTTAGGAGGAGTTATGCGAAAAGCAAAACCCTTGATGGGTGGGTGCCAGTCTGGAGAAGCAGTTGTTCCTAGGCAGGCTGTGTTTGAATGCAGGCTACCCTAGGTAAGCTACCCTAGGTAATGCCCACGTATGGTGCTGAGCCTCCATGATTGAAAAAACCTAAATGCAGTGAATGAAAGGGGAGGGGCCAGGGACAGTCAGGCTGTTGAGGAAAGACCGGGGTGATACTGGATGTCCTCCAGCCAGGAAATGAGGCGGGCTCTATCTGACTGGCTGCAGCTTCTAATAAACATTGTGAGAAGCTCCCAGTGTGCCGGGAAATCAGAGTAAGCAATTTCAATCAAAGGCTAGAGGTCAGCTTAAGTTTAGGCATCTTCATTGAAGGTTACAGTTAATGCTACGGCACACAAAGACATTTTAGACATTTGAGCTCTCCCAACCTTATAGTAACAGTTTGGTGAAGGCCCTTTTCTGTTCCACCATGACTATCCCCTGTGTACAAAGCCAACTCCATAAAGAATAAAGACATGGTTTGTCCAGTTTTGGTGTGGAGAAACTCAAGTGTCCTGCACAGAGCCCTGACCTCAACCCTGCTGAACACCTTTGGGATGAATTGGAACACCGATTGTGAGGACCAGTTTGGTGTGGACTCTGGAGGAACTTGGATGGCCTCCACAGAATCCTCACCTTAACCCTACTTAATGCCTTTGGAATTAATTGGAATGCTGATTGCGAGGACCAGTTTGGTGTGTAGGAACTGGAGTGCCCTACACAGAGCCCTGCCCTCAATCCTATTGAACACCTTTGGGATGAATTGGAACACCAATTGCGAAGACTAGTTGGGTGTGGAGAACCCTGGATGGCCTCCACAGAGCCCTGACCTAAACCCTACTGATTGATGTGAAGGAACTGGAGTGTCCTTCACAGAGCCCTGACCTCAACCCTATTGAACGCCTTTGGGATAACCTGGAGTGCCAATGGTAAGCCAAGTCTTCTCATCCAACATTAGTTCCTGATCTCACAAATGTTCTTTTGGCTGAATGGACACAAATCCCCACCAACACCCTCCAAAATTTTGTGGAATGCCTTCCCAGAAGAGTGGAGGCTGTTATAGCTGCAAAGGGAGGGGGGGGGGAGGGGACACTCCATATTAATGCTAATGGATTTGAATGGGATGTCTAACAAGCTTGTATAGGTGTCATAGTCAGTTGTCCACAAACATTTGGCTACATAGTGTCATGAAAAACATTTTGGCCTTAGGTACACTTTCAGTTAAAACCTCCGACCTTAATAACAGGAAGTGTTACTCTAATCTGATCATAGCTCGCGCTCCATCACAATAACGTTAAGCTTGAAAAACTTGGAGCTGAAATTAGCTTTGGGTTGATTTTACAAAGACATCTGGAGATGAGAACAGCAGGAACCGTGCTTGTCTTTATGAGATACGTCTTACTCCGCGATAAGGAAGACAGCTTCTTGTTCAGAAGAAAGTTATCCACGAGATAATTAAATTGTTCACATAGATGTTATCAATCTCCTCCTAATTAAAGTGTAAGTGCCTTTTAGAACACATAAAGCACATTCCCTTTTTGTTCCGTACAGGAAGCCGGCCGAGGAACGTTTTCAGTAAAGTGCCATCAAGAGAGAGTCTGTTTAATGTATTAGTGGAATAGTGATTAACCTTGTTCACGCCGGGGCGAGGCTCTGCACTGAGCCACCGATTGCTTTTAAGAGGGTGTGCTTCACACTCATCTCCTTTCTTTATTTTGGAGACTATTAAATAATACAATTTAAAATTGATTTCCTTTTTTGGGGGGAAATATGAACATTAAGTTTAGCATTCTCCTCTTGAGGTTACTTTTCTATTTTTTTTCCTGTGTCTCCTATTGCTCCTTTGATGGGAAAATATGTTGATAACAGAGCACAATAGCTCAAGTCAGAGCTGTAACTCCTCCCCATCTCATTCCCTCCCTCCATTGGTATAAAGGAGGACCTGAACTCTGAAAGATATATCCAAAAACAGCAGGCAGGTGGCAGAGGAATAGTCAGTGTTGCCTGCAGGCCCCTGCATCTGGTTTCCCCCCCAATGCCTTTATTCTGCACTATGTCTCTTTGTTAAGGTGGCCATCTTGATAGGGGCGGGACTTTGCTTTCTCATGTCAGAGCTGCCCTCCTGATGACTTGTGATCTGTTGACCGGTTCCTACAGAACAGGAACGTGCGGTCAGGGGAGGCAGAGCCTCACCTAGAATTATGGAGGAAAAAGCTGTCAGCTTCAAGTTTGAAGCTCCTCCTGTCTCCTCCTTCACACTAACTTTGGGACAGGTTGGAGGTGGGACTTCGTCCGACTGGGGGCGTGGCCAGGGGGGATGGATTCTGCCGGCGGGGCTTCGGACGGCATGGGGCGGGGGAATGCCTCACCCGCAATATGAGGTACCGCGCGTCACTGCTACAGAATGAATGAAGCCAAAGCAGGGAGATGCTTGCACTGCAGGTTCTCAGGTACGGCTTCCTATCCAGCAAGGAGAACAGCGAGCAGCACAGTAGTGACATCACCAAATATCATGAGACCAGCCTTTAGAGGCAGCAGTGCCTTAGATGGCCTCACACTGCAGATATACAGCTATGAGGCTACAGAACAGGAGTGCCTGTTCCCCCACCTATGCTGTTGGGGGCTGAACGAGAAAAAGAGGACAGTGGATAGCCAACTTTGGAGTCCTTCTCAGACAAGGTAGGTAAAGCTAAATGATGGGCTTATCCTTAAACTTTCACAAGTAAGCCAGCAACAATAAACACTTATTAATGAATACTCAAATTCTTACATAACCCAGATTGGGACTGGACCCCTGTATGGTGGCCACACACATCTCAAAATGATCATACAATCAATCCTTAGATGCAAACAAATGGATCACATTGAATAGATATTACCCACCACGGAGCCTCCATTTAATAGATTTAATGAACTCCTGATCAATATTGTTTCTGCCAAGGCAATAGGTCGTAGTGAACCTTTGTTGACCGATTGATCGTTGTATTTATTGATTGTTCTAAATTATGACTAATCGATCAATATACCGGGCAGCACCCTGTGGTGTTGTATCATTTGATGCTGGACCGCTTTGCTTGCCTGTGATTGCTCATGTCTAGACTGATCACAGATCCCCCACGTGTAGGAAGACCTTCTCGTGGTACTTTTTACTGGTGTTCAGGAAAGGGTTAATACTGATTGAAGAGAAGCATTTCTATCCCCCTCATCACCTGAGATAATGTCTTCTCCTCTCTGGGCCATTATGGTGCTCTTAGCTCCTGAGTGTATCTTGCGTCTCTCGGGCGCGATTGTATTATGTTGCACTTTTCGGAATTGCTGTTCTTCCCGTTGTTTCCCATCAGCAGTCCATAGAACGGGTCGGCACTGTGATTTGCATACCATTGTTCCCGGGTTCTTCAGCTATCAGTGCGGTGATATTATCTGACCCATTACTGGACTCAACAAGCAGAGCAGTGCTTCCTGACCTTCCCTAGATGGAGGCCTGCAGGGACCCCGCATGTTATACGATGGGTGCATTAGGCTACGCTCAAAGCGAAGAGCCTTAAAACCAACTACAGTGCTAACCCATAGAAATGAATGGACATATGGTGTGTTTACTGCTTTTTAATGCATCGCACCCATGTGACCCGCGGAAATGTGTTCATGGAATTATTTTCAGGGCAGGAATTAAATATAGCATGCATTTTAATAAAGCCAAGAGTGATGAGAGGCCCATGATGTGCTGCATATGTTAGGGGTTTAAAGGTAAAGCATTTATTATTTTTTAACATTGGGGCCAGTAAAGCATTGCAACTGCAATCAGTGGAAGGCAAGAACAATGCTCTGGCACCGGCAGATTATCCCTTGTGTCCATGGAGTGGGGAGGGGGGTGCTATATTTATTTATTACAGGTATTTATATAGCCCCAAAAATGTACACAGCACTTTACAAAGTTACACATTCACATCAATCCCTACCCTCAAGGAGCTTACAATCTAAGGTCCCTATCTCACATACATACAGGGCCAACTTAGAGAGGAGCCAATTAACCTACTAGCATGTCTTTTGGAGTGTGGGGAGGAAACCCACGCAAGCACAGGAAGAACATGCAAACCCCTTGCAAATAGTGACCTGGCCGGGATTCAAACCAGGGACCCCAAGTGTTGCAAGGCAGAAGCGCTAACCACTACGCCACTACGCCACTGTGCTGCCCATATGTGACCTTGTACACCCTGAATATAAGCGCAATATAAAACATGCTCCGAAAAGTAGCCTTTAAGCCGGGGTGGGGCACCTCCGACCCTCCAGCTATGGTGAAACTACTAATCCCATGATGCATCTTGCAATGCCTCATGGGACTTGTAGTTTAACTACAGCTGAAGGGCTGGAGATTCTGCTTTAAAGGGTCAGTCCACTCAAACGTGATAGTTTAGCCGTTGCATGGTGGGCTGAGATAGCACTTTCTACATGTCATGAAAATGACAGCAATGAGAGCTCCTCGCCATAATTTCCAACTCATGCGATGACCACCTGGGAATTTTGGAACTTCCTGTCCACCTTTCTGTGCTCTGGCTTCTCTTACTACATTAAATACCATAATATCTAATAGATTCATAACCCAACAGGATGTATGGGGAAAAGGGTTCTCTGTCTTGCTACGGGGACGCCTATTCATATAATTGCTGTGGTACGGTGGGCTGGTATCTCTATAAGGCCTGGTTCAAACCTGAACGTTTTGTAGCGAGTTCAACGCTCGACGAACGCTCTACAAAACGCTCAAACATCTAAATCCCATTGTTTTCTATGGGTATGGTTCACACCTTGCCGTATTTCCGCCCGTCCGAACGTGATACAAAACGGCCTACGCCCAAAGAAGTACATGTACTTCTTTGGGGCGTTTTGGTCTTGCGTTTCCATTGAGATACAGCCAAGTAGCCCACGGAAACGCGCGTTTGTCGCGCGTTTTTTTTACCGCGAATCGCTGTAAAAACGCGCGGCGCGCATATTCAATACGCCTTGGCGTGACCCAGCCTAATGGCTAAAGTTGTCCTAAACGCTACAACTCCGGGCCTTATGGTACATAGAAAAGAGCCTGGTTCACACCTGAACGTTTTGTAGCGCGTTCAGCGCTCAACGAACGCTCTACAAAACGCTCAAACATCTAAACCCCATTGTATTCAATGGGTCTGGTTCACACCTTTCCGTATTTTTCGCCCGTCCAAACGGGGTACAAAAGGGCCTACGCCCAAAGAAGTACATGTACTTCTTTGGGGCGTTTTGGTCTCGCGTTTCCATTGGGATACAGCCAAGTAGCCTTCAGAAACACGCGAATCGCGGTTAAAAAAAACGCGTGACAGACGCGCATATGCAATACGCCTAGGTGTGAGACCTCATGTTTTGAAGTACGTTTCAATGCTATGCCAAACTCCAACTTAATATCTGAAAAAAAACAAGGCCCCCAGAAGCTCAAGCCTCCTCACTCGTTGACTTCTAGTCAGAGAATTGGAAACCAGTTCCTCATTTTGAATGGAGCAAATGTATGCAAGAAAAATGAGGTCAACATAATTACATCATCCGCCCAATAATTACTATACTGAGATAAATAGAACAATGAAGTCACGTACCACCATTACATCAATAGAATAATCCCATTGGTTTCCACCGCCTGGCTGGAGGTCAGAATGCGAGGAGGCATTGAGTTTGTGAGCAAACCAATGAGGGATCTAAAATAACTTCATCACCAATTCACTTCGGCGGTAAAGTGGGAACAAATTAATTCACTCAGTAGATTGCTTGGCTTTCAATATTTGGTTAGCAGTGAATCTGCCCAATAAGGGAGGAACTTATATTTTGGATGGATGGATTTGCTTGATTCTAAAGCTGGCCATACACCTTGAAATCTGAATGTGCAATCTCTATTCAAACTCCTATTGAGCTACCCAAACTATGAAGTAGAAACCCAACCTAAACAATCCGCAATTTCTATGTAGTGTCAGAAACCACCTGCTACTGCGCATGCCAGTTTTCCGTACTGCAGGTGAACGGGCACTTGCGCGCACGGGTTCGCCATGGAACAGCCGTGCAAAAGTGTGCCAAGTTGCTGGATTGTCTTCAGCTTCCCCTGTGTTCCTTGTGCTTCTGATTACCTTGCTGACTTTTGACCCGGATTGTCCTTGACCTTGTTGATTGCTGCCTGCCCCTGACCTCCTGCTTGCCTTCTGGACCTGCCTCTGTATTCTGCCTTTGTACCTCGCTGTCCGACTGGATTTGACCCCCTGGTTTGTTTGACCACGATCTTGGATCCTGCTCTGTACTTTGCTGCCTGCCTGGTTTTGACTACAGCTCGGCTTGACCCGATCCAGTGCCGGAACTCCCGCTTGCCCGGTGTGATCACCACTTGCACCTTTGCTACTCGCTGTCCACAGAGACTCTGTTCCCAACTCCAGAGTCTTTGGGACACGAGGTGAAAGGGAAGCCTCCTCACCCATCCAGTCTCCACCCAGGTACGTGACATCTAGTCAGGTAGGCCCTTTTACTACATACTTGTTTGTAGATCTAAAGAAGATTGCGCAATAAGATTGTAGGGCGCATGGCCAGCTTTGTAGTAAATAAAGTATTCCGAAGAGGTTGTAGTAACAGTAGAGTAGCACATAATAGGTCTGATTCTTACTTTTTCTTCTTGTCTGGAATCTCTGAGCCGTCATCGTCCATCCTCGTGTGAAGCTCCTGTATTACTTTATTCAGCGTCCCGTAAAATTCCTTGTTGTCCTCTTGGATTCCTTTATTGTGTTCTGCAATGACCTCCTGGTAGCCCAAATCCTGAGCGTCAACGTTCACCGTGTACTTTAAACTCTGCAGAACCCTGTCGTGGTCCTGGAGAAGGTTCTGTAGGTACTGCACCTCCTCCTTGATGTTCGGACCATTGTCCCTCCCGGCGCACGACTCCTGGCGAGGGGTCACGAAGGTCATCTGACACTTATTGGTGAGCGGAGGGTGATACTGGGGCTCCTTGGGCTGGTCTTGAAGGGTGCCTGGGAGATATCCAGAGCCTAAATCAGCCAGGGCTTCATCTCCGCTCTGCGCTGAGCTGAACGATACGGCAAGCCACAACGTCAGTGCCGTGCACAGTGCCCGGTACGGCTGCATGGTACCCTGGAAGAAGAACACAAATTGTTTAAGTATATTTCTATCTTTGATACATTGCTGGTGGTAAATGGGACTTAAAGTGTTACACTTATAAAAAAAACTTGCATAGCCATTCGTCCTGCAAAACTCCATGTATGTTTGATCTCTGCAAATGGAGGCAAAAAGGGAATGTTCTTAGTATATTTTTTTTCAAGGCTGAATGTATTATCAGAAAAATGCCACATTATGGCCACTAGATGGAGCTGAGGAACATATGAAATATATACATAAGGCCACTAGATGGGGGAGGAGCATAGGAAATATATACATATGGCCACTAGATGGGGGAGGAGCATAGGAAATATATACATATGGCCACCAGATGGGGGAGGAGCATAGGAAATATATACACATGACCACTAGATGGAGGAGGAGCATAGGAAATATATACATATGACCATTAGTTGGAGCTAAAGAGCATAGGAAATAAATGCATATGGCCACTAGATGGGGGAGGAGCATAGGAAATAAATACATATGTCCACTAGATGGGGGAGGAGCATAGGAAATTAACACTAGATGAAGCTGGGAAGCATAGAAAGGAAGTATTCATTTCCTATGCTCCTCAGCTCCATCTAGTGGCCATAATGGGGTAATTTACTGATATTACCTTCGACCTGGAAGAAAAAATGTGCTAATAATGTACTTTTTTTTGCCTCCATTCGCACAGAACGAATGTGAATGGAGTTTTGCTGGACGAATGGCTCTACAAATTTGAACACACCCCCTATGTGTTTATTTGTCAAATAAAAAGATATTTAGTAAATAACAGAAAAGCTGCAAAGCATCAATGTGGAATCGGTGAGAAGAAGCCATGACATCTTCCCTTTAATAGCAGCAGCCACATCCCAGGTGCAGTACAAAGATGCATTCACCGCTCTGGTAAATCCCCAGTCATTCATCAGCGTCGCAGGTGTGGAGCCGCAGAATGCTGATATCAGGTAACAGCTGCCCGACTTATTTTTATCTCACAGACATAGAAGCTCGTTAATTCCCCGATCTCCAGGTTAGACACGAGTGCTCGTATTAGGAAGATTATATTTATTACCCGTCATCTATAAGACCAAAATAAACATATACACAACGTTACGCAGGCCGGCCACTGTTTAGGTTGTCACTACGCCATTGCCCGCTCGCCAGGACGACCTGCGATGGCCAAGGAGACAGCGATGGCCAGGAAGACGTCTGGAAGGTGCCGCGTCCTCCGTGTCTGGGCAGATGTTTTTTTTACGGCGGCCATCTGCTGCCAGCGAAGTCTGAGGCCTGTCCTTATTAAACAGGGTGAGCATTTATCAGCATTTCCATAGCTAAGCATCGATGGAGGGTATTATGGCTCTACGAGAGGCGAGCAAAACTGGGAACTGGCATTTCCCAGAAATTTTGGCAAAAATCGGAGATTGGAGTCAAAGAGGAAGGGAACAAATAATGTTCTAACAATCAAATATGCTGCAAAAAAGGTGGAAAAAAAATACAATTCTGCTCTATATTGTGACATCATGCAGACTTGTAATGTTACTGAGAGTACAGTTATATATAAAAATAAAAACCACTTGCAGAGCCATTCATCCTACGAAAATCCATGTATGATCGTTCTGGAGGCAAAAAAAGAATGTTCTTAGTATATATTCTTTGCAGATCGCATGTAATATCAGGAAAATGCTGCATTATGACCACTAGATAGAGCTGAGGAGCATAGGAAGGAATTATTCATTTTCCAGATGCTCCCAGAGCAAATGGCACCTGCAGTGCCCATTATGAGGGGTTCCCAGACCCAAGGACTTTATGAGGGGTTCCCACCATGTCTGTGCTGAGTTCCTGGGTCTGTACACCCGCTGTGCCCATTATGAGGAGCTCCCCCCATCCCTGTGCTGAGTTCCCGGGTCTGTACACCCGCTGTGCCCATTATGAGGAGCTCCCCCCATCCCTGTGCTGAGTTCCCGGGTCTGTACACCCGCTGTGCCCATTATGAGGAGCTCCCCCCATCCCTGTGCTGAGTTCCCGGGTCTGTACACCCGCTGTGCCCATTATGAGGAGCTCCCCCCATCCCTGTGCTGAGTTCCCGGGTCTGTACACCCGCTGTGCCCATTATGAGGAGCTCCCCCCATCCCTGTGCTGAGTTCCCGGGTCTGTACACCCGCTGTGCCCATTATGAGGAGCTCCCCCCATCCCTGTGCTGAGTTCCCGGGTCTGTACACCCGCTGTGCCCATTATGAGGAGCTCCCCCCATCCCTGTGCTGAGTTCCCGGGTCTGTACACCCGCTGTGCCCATTATGAGGAGCTCCCCCCATCCCTGTGCTGAGTTCCCGGGTCTGTACACCCGCTGTGCCCATTATGAGGAGCTCCCCCCATCCCTGTGCTGAGTTCCCGGGTCTGTACACCCGCTGTGCCCATTATGAGGAGCTCCCCCCATCCCTGTGCTGAGTTCCCGGGTCTGTACACCCGCTGTGCCCATTATGAGGAGCTCCCCCCATCCCTGTGCTGAGTTCCCGGGTCTGTACACCCGCTGTGCCCATTATGAGGAGCTCCCCCCATCCCTGTGCTGAGTTCCCGGGTCTGTACACCCGCTGTGCCCATTATGAGGAGCTCCCCCCATCCCTGTGCTGAGTTCCCGGGTCTGTACACCCGCTGTGCCCATTATGAGGAGCTCCCCCCATCCCTGTGCTGAGTTCCCGGGTCTGTACACCCGCTGTGCCCATTATGAGGAGCTCCCCCCATCCCTGTGCTGAGTTCCCGGGTCTGTACACCCGCTGTGCCCATTATGAGGAGCTCCCCCCATCCCTGTGCTGAGTTCCCGGGTCTGTACACCCGCTGTGCCCATTATGAGGAGCTCCCCCCATCCCTGTGCTGAGTTCCCGGGTCTGTACACCCGCTGTGCCCATTATGAGGAGCTCCCCCCATCCCTGTGCTGAGTTCCCGGGTCTGTACACCCGCTGTGCCCATTATGAGGAGCTCCCCCCATCCCTGTGCTGAGTTCCCGGGTCTGTACACCCGCTGTGCCCATTATGAGGAGCTCCCCCCATCCCTGTGCTGAGTTCCCGGGTCTGTACACCCGCTGTGCCCATTATGAGGAGCTCCCCCCATCCCTGTGCTGAGTTCCCGGGTCTGTACACCCGCTGTGCCCATTATGAGGAGCTCCCCCCATCCCTGTGCTGAGTTCCCGGGTCTGTACACCCGCTGTGCCCATTATGAGGAGCTCCCCCCATCCCTGTGCTGAGTTCCCGGGTCTGTACACCCGCTGTGCCCATTATGAGGAGCTCCCCCCATCCCTGTGCTGAGTTCCCGGGTCTGTACACCCGCTGTGCCCATTATGAGGAGCTCCCCCCATCCCTGTGCTGAGTTCCCGGGTCTGTACACCCGCTGTGCCCATTATGAGGAGCTCCCCCCATCCCTGTGCTGAGTTCCCGGGTCTGTACACCCGCTGTGCCCATTATGAGGAGCTCCCCCCATCCCTGTGCTGAGTTCCCGGGTCTGTACACCCGCTGTGCCCATTATGAGGAGCTCCCCCCATCCCTGTGCTGAGTTCCCGGGTCTGTACACCCGCTGTGCCCATTATGAGGAGCTCCCCCCATCCCTGTGCTGAGTTCCCGGGTCTGTACACCCGCTGTGCCCATTATGAGGAGCTCCCCCCATCCCTGTGCTGAGTTCCCGGGTCTGTACACCCGCTGTGCCCATTATGAGGAGCTCCCCCCATCCCTGTGCTGAGTTCCCGGGTCTGTACACCCGCTGTGCCCATTATGAGGAGCTCCCCCCATCCCTGTGCTGAGTTCCCGGGTCTGTACACCCGCTGTGCCCATTATGAGGAGCTCCCCCCATCCCTGTGCTGAGTTCCCGGGTCTGTACACCCGCTGTGCCCATTATGAGGAGCTCCCACCATCCCTGTGCTGAGTTCCCGGGTCTGAGTCCCTAACAGCATTTTCTCCAGGAAAGGTAACTATTACAGATATAATTTGGGGTATTCATCCCGCCATGACAGTGAGAGCAGCCAGAGGTAGAAGTGATTGGGGTCATTTTACATTATAACTGATTCTTCCTCTGGACCTGGTGGGTCACGTCATTCACCTCCAGCTGTACGATGTCCCTGAGAAGAGAGACAACCATAAGAAGAGGATTGATATATAATGGACACCGGTGTGTGGCCCCTGTGAATTCAGTCACATGCTGGCCATTCAGTATGAATGTGTAACCTCGCACAGCGCACAGGTCTGGAGGGATCATGGAAAGCAATGATCCGCAGCCACCGGCGGTGTGGAGGGGCCCCGTACAGCTGTAGAGTCCCCGGGGGCCATTGATGTGATAATGTCATACATAGAGAGTGACAGGAAGGTGTCTGAGCTGTAAGTGATATCTCCGATCTCCAGTGTCTCCCGCACCCAGCGCACACAGGGTGACCCGGCACAGTCGGAGAAGTGTTTCTGGCTGACGGGTGAAGCCAACTGTAAAATAAAGCTGCATGGAGGACTGAGAATTCCTTTCCAGAAATCACTCCGAGAGAGAGCGAGGAAGAGAGGAGAGAGCGAGGGAGGGAGAGAGGAGAGTGCGAGTGAGAGAGAGAGGAGAGTGCAAGGGAGAGGGAGAGAGAGAGGAGAGTGCGAGGGAGAGTGTGAGGGAGAGAGGAGAGAGTGAGGGAGTGAGTGAGGAGAAGAAAAGAGAGAGAGGAGAGTTCGAGGGAGAGAGGAGAGAGCGAGGAAGAGAGGAGAGAGCGAGGGAGAGAGGAGAGAGTGAGGGAGAGAGGAGAGTGCGAGGGAGAGAGGAGAGAGTGAGGGAGAGAGGAGAGTGCGAGGAAGAGGAGAGAGCGAGGGAGAGAGGAGAGTGCGAGGAAGAGGAGAGAGCGAGGAAGAGAGGAGAGAGCGAGGAAGAGAGGAGAGAGTGAGGAAGAGAGGAGAGAGGGAGGGAGAGAGGAGAGGGCGAGGAAGAGAGGAGAGAGCGAGGAAGAGAGGTGAGAGAGAAAGGGAGGAGAGAGCGAGGGA